TTAACAATAAATGTTCACATATGCATAGATAGTGATTTAAAAAAAAACATAATTTGAAAAAGAGTTTTGGAGGTAGTTTAGACACATTTATAAGGACAAAAAGCCTTTACTTAGAAAAAACATACATTTTATAAACATAATATTTTGTAAAACATAATTTTATAATATAAAACTCTATGTTTATCATATTAATATTTAATTGAAAAATATATAACTTTGCATTTATCTCATCCAGTTTAAGTTCACTTTAAATAGTTTTTAATCTAAATAAATATCTGTAATCTAACTGAAAGGTATTTATAAAATTTGTTTTGATCTTTTATGGGGTTGTGACATGTAAAACATCATTGTAATATTATCTCTGACTCTTCTTTCGTGTAATCAAAATGAGATCTGAGCTGCCTCCTATACATTCCGACATTAGTTGTCCGAACTGTGGTCCGATCCAAGATGGGCGCCCTCTAGGCACGTCAGCCTAGCTGTCATCAGCGTTCAATGAGGCGTCTACGTATACAATGTCTATGTTTGTCTCTACCAGGTTTCATTGTGGCTCTACTTTGTTTTTGGTGATCTAACCACTAGCTAATTTTCTACATGTTTACTGTGTAATTCACATATAAGAAATTTCTAATGACATTTTTAAGGCTTTCTTTAAACAATTGCTTTATTTTTCCTCTCTTGTGAAAATCAACCATTTGTAAAGGTGCACAAATGATGTTTGTCCTAACAGGTTCTCCCACGAGTTACTGATCTCTACAGCTCCACCAGAGGAACCAAAGGATCCTACGATCCACTTTCACCAAGCCTATCAGTAAAGACCAGAAGTCAAGAACCTTTACAATCCTGGGAGCCACGTCCAGCTAAATGGAAGTATGCAGGGAGAACGAGAGATTATTATTTACTACGGTAATACTTATTGCATGAAATTTTCCTAGATTTTCAAACCAAAAACAAGTTTTATTGTTGTTTTTTTAGCTTGAATAGATATTTTCTTCAGTGAGAAACCCAATTTCTACAGAAAATGATGTCACAGTTTGCAACCTATTACAATTAATAATTAATCCAAGAGAATATTCCTTATACTGACACTGTTAGTTTCATTCTTTGAAGAAATAGTATGCATACTTTGTTTGAAAATAAATACAAAAAAAGCTTTTTTTGCATACTTGTTTAGCATGTTTGGCCAAAACTTCATCAGAGCCACGCGATACAGATCTCTGACTCAGAGTAATAATCATGTTAGCAACGATGTAGCCCAACACTGATTTAAACTTATTTGCAAGTTGCTAGATTTACTTTTTTCATGTGTCCTCTTTTTTTAATACTTTAAGTTAGTAGTGTCAGAGGAAGTCAAGGCTAAAAACATATAAATGAAAAATCTTAAGGGTTTTATTTGTGTATTTAAAAAAAAATCTTTGAAATGTTGGTTGCCTGTAACTTTAGCTTTTACAATTAGGTGTGATTTTTGTTTAGGTTCATACAGCAAATCTTAACAAAGTATATTTAAATGTGTGATTTTTAAGGTTCCAAAAACTGCAAATGTTTAGAGGATGTGAGTTTTTTTTGCCAGCAGCCCATCATGACTTAAACCCCAAATGTTCAACTGTTCTCTCTCTTTATCAGCCAGCCAGTCTACCAAGGTGAGCAGAATTTAACAGCACAAGATGTAGCAACAATAGACCTACATGCGTAGAGATAAGGCAACGCACATTAGCCTCAGAGAGATTGTGTTCCCTTCACCTGTAAAATGAGGGTCCTCAGGGCCAGGAGACGGCCTTGACTGGCAGCGTCGTGGAGGGGCGAGCGATCGGCCCAGGATCCTGCGACAGGAATATAAATTCAACGGCTGTCCCTACCTGTGTCTATTCCAGCTTATTGCTTTATGTTTTCTAGAACAGAAACACAATTTTTCATAGAATAAAGAAGTGAACAAGAACATTTCCCTTTGACATTTAATCCATAAAGACCTTCGGTTTTAGCAGTAATACTTTTCCAAATCTTCATATCTCAGTCAGAATAAGTGAAGTTCAATTATAAGTGCTAGAAATTACTCCCTCCCCCCACCTGAGTCAATATCCAAAATAACAGCTGATGCATTCCACACTCCATCGTCTCCATTATTCTCCTCCTCCATTGTCTTCATAAATTATGGATAATGATCAACTAAATTTCCTCTCTTATTCATGCAGCATATTTTCCTCAACTGACATTAATTTGAAATCCAGACATAAAGAGAGACATCAAACAGATTTCTTCCAACAAGGAGGACCATATCTACAGCAGCGTGACTAATATCCTGACTTCAGCTAATTGGTATTCCCTTTGAGTGATAGCTGCAGATTATGTTGTTGTGGTGTCTGTCTTGCCCCCGAATGTGTCTCCACAGCGCTTGTCCCCGAGAATGTGGAGTGTTGTTTTTGTTTCTGTGTAAGTGTGACAGGGTGCACTGCACTGCATAGCTGGGAATGGAAAGTAGGGCACGATGAGGGGTGGGGGGAGGGACGAGGAGGATATCATGACTGCGTTCTATTATTATATTAGAGAGAGAAAGCTGCTGGGCCATTGGAGTCTCAGTTTAAAATTGAATACTTCAGGATTTATAAGTGGCTATTAAGCATGAAATGAAAGAAAAGTGGGCACTAATTCATGCCCCAGCTATAAATGGGCATGTAATTAATGGCTTTTACAGGAAATGGATAAGTGAAATGTATTTATAGCTCATGTGTGAATACAGCAATCATCTGTGTAAATATGATGTATGTGTCCTTGATTTAAAGCTAGGAGGAGATCCTACATCTGACCTTTCAGGTGATGTCAAAACACCCATGGTGTTATATCTTGCATGGTTATGTGCAAGAAAAAGCTCAGTTTTACAATAAACAGAACATCAATTAGAGAAACAGTAAAACATTTAAGAGGGGTTTTCTCCTGATACTCACTGTGTTGTTGACCGTAGTCATAGAACTCTGCCGATATCCGGGCAGCTTCTTTACGGTTCCCACGTACTATATAGAAGTATGTCAGCAAGTTAAGAGAAATCTTAACAAAGAGCTTAAAGCAGAACAGTGCCAGAATGCTCAGATAAACATTGGACAACTGGACTGTGAAGGGCTTGTTGGTGAGTTCCACCGCTGGGTCTGACATCTCCTTTGGCACACTACAAAAGAACTTTAGTTATGATGAAGGCAGGACCAGAAGCGACTCTAAGAGAGCCTACTTTCTTCTACCGTACTCTCCGGGCAGCCGGTTCTGACAAGCTGCAGTCTGGAAAAAATGCTCTGCAGCTGCTGCTGAGCCTGGGAGCAGCTACTGCAATGTTATTAAACACTGTGGGTGTGGATGTTTACAAGTTGTGAAAACGACAAAAGTGTCTGCTTATGTCAGAAAAAGGACAGCCACACATTTAGTTATAATTATTTATAAACACATAAAAAGTTATTTTTTTATTGTATCCTTGCCAATTAAATTGTGTGGTAATAAACAGTGGCAGTTATAGACCAAATGTACCAGGGGGCCAGGAGGGGGCCAGTGTGTTTTCATGGGGGCCCAGAAAACCATGAAATAAAAAACAGGGCAAGGGGTTCAAATTTATTAAAAGAGATGCATGAAGTGAAATTTCTGTTGAATTTGGTTTAATTAAAATTACGTATATGTCCTATTAGGTCAATATACAATATCACATAATTTAGGAATTTAACATATTCTTGACTTAATTAAAAAAAAACCTGGATCCTAAGCTATCACCTTATTGTTTTAAATAATTATAAAAACAGAATTTGTAAAGAAAAAAAATGAAATAGATCCAAAAGACTTATCAGTAACCATGTCTGTTCATCATTAGACTTTCTTTGAGTATTATGTCTTCAGTACAGGGGCCATAACAGGGGCCAGGACATGATCCACAGGGGCACCGGCCCCCGTTGGCTCCTGTCTAGAATCGCCCATGGTAACAAACCTATTAGTGAAAATTTTTTTCGTTTTAAACATTTTTCACTAATAGGTTAAACGAGTAAAAGACTGATAGTGATTCTGTTTTAAAATATTTTTAACCCTTTTAATAGCAGAGCCTGAGAGATCTATTTTTGTTTTCGCTTGAGAATAATTTTCTTTAACTTAATGTTTTAGTTCTTAATTCATTTTTAAGTTACTGATATGTTTTAGTCTATCAAAACGTCTTACTTTATTTTAAAATCTATTATAAATAGACACTTTTTGCAATATAACCTGGAAAAAAAAATAAATAATAATTATGATTATTACATCAATATGTTTTGAAATGTTATCTGATCATTGTTCAATGTTTGTTTTCTCACTCTGCCATCATTGTTTGTGTTTGTATCTAATATAGAGCTGCGAATAAAAGATGGATCAATTCTGAAAGAAAAGATATGCTAACTGGGATTTATTTAGATGTAATATTATATTATATTTCCAGGTTTATGGCACGGTACCTTCCATCGTTTCCAAGGTAACGCATCCGGTGCAATGCGCATGCGCAGTGTGTCGCTCAGCACCTTTTCCGCGAACATTAAACTTGCTTCCTGTGTTTACCTTCGCGTTGTCAGCTCTCGTTTCTCCCTCTAATGGGGGTTTTCCAGATAATTCAGGTTGTTTTAGTCGCTGTCGCGTCTTTTAGTGAAAGTCTTGCTTATTTAAATGGTTCTGCAGTCGATTTTGATTCGTTCAGGAGAAAGTTTCTCCGCTTGTACCAAGTCAACAGCGAGGAATTTAGTCGTCGTCAAATCTATTTTCAGGTAAGAGATTAAAGTAGAGAGATGCAGGGAGGCTGTATTTAAAGTTTAAGGTGCTGTTTTGACTTCAAACACAAATTAGCGAGGAACAACCTTTAGAAAATAGCAACACGTATTCCTACTTGCTAAAGGATTCCTGTTTGTTTAACGTGTGAAAACGAAACATGCAACCTGTGGTGTGAATTGCTCACTTTGATATGCAGTGATGTAATAAAAGGTAGTTCCCTTGTGGTTGCTACAGCCTCTTAAACCTTTTTAGGCCCAGGGCTACTTCATGACTGATGAGTCAATTCAATTCAGTTTATTTATATAGCGCCAATTAACAACACATGTCATCTCAAGGCACTATTTAATTCAGCCAGATCATACAGTCAAATTGATTCAAAGTTTTCTATCTAAGGAAAACCAGTTGATTGCATGACTCATTTTGACTCTAAGGCAGGCATCCCCAAACTCGGTCCTCGAGGGCCGCTGTCCTGCAGGTTTTAGAGGTTTCCCTGCTTTAAAACAGCTGATTATAATGATTGCAGTAGAGCAAAAGCCTGTTAATTAGCTTTCAATTAAAATCAGCTTTGCTGGAGCAAGGAAACCTCTAAAACCTGCAGGACAGCGGCCCGAGTTTGGGGATGCCTGCTCTAAGGCAATCCCTCACACTGAGCATGCTTGTAGCGACAGTGGGGAGGAAAAACTCCCCTTTAAAAGGAAAAAAACTCCAGGAGAACCAGACAAGTCATAGAAAGGGCTACCAATGCTGACTGATGAACTGGAGGGATCAGTGTTAACTTCATACATAATAAACATATTTTTATTGGGATGGAGAGAGTGAAAGAAGGAAGAAATAGAGAGAGAGAAAGGATAGCAGAAGGGATGTGAAGGAAGGAAAAAAAGGAAGGAAGGAAGGAGCGGATGAAGAAACAAAAAAAGGCAGGAAGGAGAGAGGGATGAAGGAAGGAATGGAGGGAGAGAAAGGATAGAAGGAGCGAGGGGAGGGAGGGGGGAAAGGAGTGAGGATGTGGAGGAACGGCATAAGCAAGGATGGATGGTAGGAATTACGGAAGAAAGGAAAGAAGGGGGAGGGATCAGTATTCACCTTAATTTCATACAAGCATAATTTAATTATTTCTTTTAACTCCTAATTTTCTTTGTTTTATTATCATTTTGAAATCTCTAAACATGCTTAAATTCCCTGTGTGATTAAAAAGGAAGGGCAACAGAATAAAATTTAAATTTAGCCCGATGCTGAGTTCTGCTTTTTTTAGAAGATACTTTGGGCAGCCTATGAGGCCCCCCAGGGCCCTTTGGTGCACGCGGGCACCAGGTTCGTGACCCCTGCTCTAAAAGCTGTTCTACTAAAATTGAGCTTTTTTTCCACATCATCTCAACCAGCTCTCCTTTAGCTGCTACAAAAAAAAAAAATCCCCATAGCGGTATGCTGCCACCACCATGTTTCACTGCAAGGATGGTTTGTTCAAGTTAGTGTTGCAGTGTAGATGTCTGCCTCCTGTAGCTTTCGCATTACCAGTTCATGTCCTCTGAACAGATTCTCCTACCTGAATTAGCGATTGCTGCAGCTGCTTCTCCAACTAATTGTCTCTGTCGTCGATCTGTTGTCTGAGATGCTGGATAAATTCAATTATAACATGGAGGCATGAATGCATACCAATCATTACGACCTAATTGTCCTTACCTTAAATTATATCTCAAATTTAAGAAAAACAAAAGTTGCACCCCGACGTGGATAAGGTTGGACAGTTTATGTTAAAAAGACCTCACAGTCAGACAGAACAGCACTAAAAGAAAAAAAGAGTTGGACAAGCGGCTTAGAATAAGTAAAAAATCTGGTTGTACCTTCAGAATATCAGAATTACCTCCTAACTTTGGGAAAGAGACAGCAAATTAAAAAGTTCATCGTAAGTTTTAAGAACTGGGTCTTATGCTCTCTAGAGCATTCTTTGAAATCTCACCTCAAAGATATTTCACTGTCACAATGAATCCCGTACTCTGCAGCCAGGAGTCTCCAACCAAAACGACGGGAATATGACTCTGCTGTAACAGAATGTGTCAGAAGAATAACAGATGAGTGAGAAGGATTTACCTTTAGTCAGTGATAAAATGTTCCTTGTCTAATATTATATCTCAATTAGGTCAGTGGTTTATGTTGACATTATAATCATATCTAAAAGTACAGTAAGATTCCTATCTTTACAGGTTTGTCAGTTTAGCTGGATGTCCATGTCTTTGTAGTTCTTGGTAGTCCTGCAGTTGGTCCATCCTCTTTACATGTTTAGATGATTGATTGAACAGAGGTGCTCAGATTTTGAACCTAACCCTGCTTTAAACTCATTGGACCCTCTTCTCCTGACCTGTCTGCAGGGGTTCTTGGTCTCCATTGGACTGTTTCTCTAAAGTTCTCTAACAAACCTCTGAGGCTAGAAACCTAAAAACATCTGCATTTATGCTAATTGTTGGACTAGTTTTGCCTTTGGGCATCAGAGAAATGTGTGCAGACTCTAAATGCATGCTTACTGAACATTGCTTTCATTTTTGTACTGTACCCATCTTACATTCTAAGGAAACAGAAGGCAACGAAAAAACTGGTTAGGCCATTATCAAGCACAGTTTACGCTTGTTATTTTTTATCTTATAGAAACATTTCCGCTTCATTAATACTTCATTTCTATGCTCAAATATGCTACTTTTTCCTACTTTCTAGTTAATTATACCAAAACTTCTGTGTTGTGTGGGTTTTTACAGAATGCTGCAATGCGACATATACACCTGAACTCATTTTCCACAGAGCCACAGTCTGCCACGTACGGCATTAACCAGTTCTCTGACCTTTCACAGATGGAATTCAGGGGTGAGTGAGAATTTCATTGTGGATTTAAAGCTTGCCGAATGGAATTAGTTGTATTTGCTGAATGTGTGTGAACTGACAGGGTAGGGCATGCTGATAAAATGTAAAACAAATGTTTGTTTTTTTTCAAAAATTTTGATCAAATTACTTAGAACCAGCTGTAACTGCCTTATGCAAAGTTCTCCGACGTTCTTCTTGAAGGCAGAGTCGATGTTTAAATGCATCTGTGTGTCCAGTGATGACTTTGGGTTTTATCCACAGATGTTTACCTTCGAGCAGAAAGTAGCAGAGCCCCTGGCTTCACTGGACGGACTAGAATGGGACTCCCGGCCAAATTTGACTGGAGGGATAAAGGGGTGGTGGCACCGGTCCAGAACCAGTTAGAGGTACGTTTAATGCAGGCAGATGATGGATGCACTGAATGGTTGTTACAATAAACTCGCTGTGAGCAGAAATAAACAACATGGATTACATTATTCTATAAAGAAGGACTTGCTGGAAGCCTCTAGTCACGTAATGATAATAGAAGTAATCGTTTATTTGTGTCTATGAAGAGAATGGGCCAATATTTTAGTCTGTATTTGCAAAGGCAGTCAGGACGTACGTTAAGCGACTTAAAAGCGAAAGTACTTGGAGTTTGGGGCTAAATACAAACACATTCCTCACTTTTTAGCTTTTTATAGCAGGAAGCTTAGAAAACAATGAATCCTATTTCTTCTTCTTCATTATAAGGCTCTACTTAGTGTTTATATATGATATAAAATGAAATGGTTTTAACCTTTTGATATGAATACATTCAGGTAGTGTGAATAGATTTATAAAGTACTTTAATGTCATACATAAAAACAGCCTTTATATGTTAGACTAAAAAGTTTGACTTTAAACTAGACTCAAACTTAATCATAAGGACTGGATAAGTGATCTTGGAGAAATGCGTCTGTGTTCTGGTGTTCTTTAGGACTTTATGGTTCGATTTCAGTCCAACAGATGGTAATAACTGCTTCTGTTAACCTGGTTAATGTGGGTGTATTAAAAGGCTTTCTGTTTCTGCAGTTAATATCCAATAAAAGGACAAGGTTGACCACCTACCACATTCCTGCCTCATATACGCTCCTTTTTTTTTTGTCCGCCGCTTTGCGATCCACGGCTTACAGTGAATATCAGAAGGAGCAGAGTTCAGCTCTGCCTGTCTGCGGCTAGAAAACAGGCTTGCATTAAAGTTGACTAGAAATTGCCTTTTTTGTAAAAGGAAAGCAGGCAGGCAACGATCACACAACCACAAAAACGGAGCACAAGTTAGAATGTTTAGCATAAAGTAGATCTTTTTAGCAAGTGGCGGCGCGAAATGAAAATAACTGTGAAAAGGTTCACACATTTCATCTCTGCAATCTGGCTCCAGTTCATCACCCCACCATCTGCCTCGCCAGCTCGTCCTGTCTTCAAAATGCAGATATATGCGCAGGTCAGTGGTTCTGTACAGGTGTAGCTTTCTCGCATATCCAGACTGTATTTATACATTATGTGAGAAACAGGGCTTAGTGAAGAAACCAGCTTAGTGTATCCACCTCAATACTAGAAAGGGCACGTCTTAATCCTGCAAATATCTGATAAATGACAGAGTAAGGATGATGAGATGGGGTTAGTGTTGGTTTTAATCATACTGGAAAAGGCTTGAAACATAAACTTTGCTGTTTAAAAGTCTCCGTTAAACATATTCCTATTTTTTAGAAAGAAAAATAATGATTACCGGTATTATAAAAAAAGTGCTTATACTGTTAGTAATCTGAAAAGGGTTCTTTAAATGAATAAGTTAAGATGTATTATTACAGACTCGTAGCCCAAATCACATAAAAAGACAATGATTAAGGAAAATAAAAGTGCATAAAAAAAGTGGTGAAAACGTCACTTTTTCCCATGCAAAAAAAGCAAAATGTCTTACATCTTAGAAGCCTTTATTAAACTCCTTCTAGGATTTATGATGGGTGCTCGGAGAATTCTCCCTACTGCAAATCAATTTTAGTCTTGAGGAGTTCAGCTGAAGGTCAAGCATTCATCTGAAGTAGTAATGGACAGAATACATATTTGAGTGGCGGGGGAGTTCAATCGTTAAGGAAAGGCAATGAAACGACGACAAACCCAAACCTTTGAGACTTCAGCTCGACGAGCAGAAGGGACCTGGGCTACGAAAGAATGCGGTTTAGTGGAACGGAGCTGTTGCATGTCCTTTATGAAGGTTCACTTTTTGCTCTTTTTGTCCTTTATCTCTTTAGTAAGTCAATTTGCTGCGGGGGATGATATTTTCACTCTAAAGCACTCCTCCTAAGGGAGGGACATAACCTATACAGTAGAATGCTGCATGATAACATGGTGTATATTTCATCCTTTTGAGTACAGGGAAAGTTTAGTGCTCCTGGGAGAGTCTGTAAACGACCAGAGCCTCCGCACTCACCTACCTCAGCTCGGCTGCAGTTTATCTGCCCACATTTCTTATTGTCTGGCTTGTCTGCGGACCTTCCTGGGCCGGGATCCCTCTCAAGATTAATGGATAGATGGAAGATGAAACGCGATGCCATGAACACAGATACACAATATCAAGTCAATTATATCAGATAAACTCTTCTCTCCTCTCCAGATTTCGTTGTCTTGATTTCTCATTTATAGCTTGGGTTCATTTCAGGGCTCACAGATAGCTTTAATATTTTGTATGCTTTGTGCATAGTTATCTCCAGTCCAGGCAATCGGGACTAAATTTAGCTTTTGTATTGGTTTTAAGCCACAGAACCATTTTCATTAAAAAAATAAAATAAGAAAGAAAAAGCGTTTCAGATGCCAAACTCAGATGTTTATCATATTTATGAGAATTTATGCTGAGGGAGTGAACATGATGTAGTGATCTCCATGTTGGGTGAAGAATTTGTTCAAATATTAAAGGGAGAAAAAGAAAGATGTATTCCCCTAAATAAAGTATTGCCTACTGGTTTCTGGAGACGGATGAAATAAATTTTTTATCCTTTTCATTAACAGGAATAGTATGTCATACTTGATTAATATTTTAGATTATTGTCTCTCGAAAGCATGAGTAACAGCTGGCGCTTTGTATTTCTTCATCATGTGGCTTTCAGATGAGTCGAGTTTATTCATTTACATTTTTACCCAGAATTTAGTGTTTCTGTCAGTAGGTGGCAGCAGAAAGCAATTAGACAGTTTGGTTCATCTGTCTTTCTTAGGAAACAAGCATTAAAATGATATTTTACATAGTATTATTATTGCTATGGTTGTATTGTAATTTATTGCTGTTTTAGTGGTTTCATCTTTATATCAGAGGCTTTATATAAAAAGCTTGTAATGTGAGGCTGTGAGACTAAGATTTCACCCATCTCAATTCTTTGGAAATAAAACGTCCTTTTTAAAACCTTTGTAACACTGTTCTCTACTGATTTACCGGTAAGTTATTATTTCTTTTTTCTTGTTTGTGTTTTGTAGTGTGGGAGCTGCTGGGCGTTTAGCGCGGTTGGCGCCATCCAGTCCGTCCATGCTATGGGAGCCTCGCAGCTAGAGCAGCTCAGCGTGCAGCAAGTTCTCGACTGCTCCTATGAAAATAAGGGCTGTAATGGAGGCTCCCCTTCCCACACGCTTGCTTGGTTAAAACAGGTGTGTGGATGTTTTTTGCATTAAAAGTTTGACCTAACCTGCCTCCTCTGGTCTTAATGGCTATAAAACACTGGAAGTCACTGTTGACTTATTTAAAAAAAAAAAAAAAAAATTATGTCAATCAAAAGTAGATGAATCTTACATCCATTTATCTCATTTCTGTTTTTATGCATAACACTGATGTTCTCCTTCCAATCTAGAGCAGAGTGAAGTTGGTGAGTCGCTCGGAGTATCCATATAAGGCCAAAACAGGAATCTGTCATTTCTTCCCCCAGTCTCATGAAGGTGTTGCTGTCAAGAATTATTCTCTGCATAGCTTCAGGTAAAACAAAAAAAATGCTTTTAAAAAAACCCCATATTACTATTTTTATTTCTTGCATGAATCCTGGCAAGACTTTGCCTATTTTAGGTCAGTGATAGTTAACAAAATTATTTCTGTTTTTAAATGCTAGAATTATGAAAGATATTTTTCTTTCTTTCTTTCTTTCTTTCCTTAAATTTAGAAATGTACCTGCGTTTAGATTACTTAGCCTGCATTGTCTTTATATAAATGTGTAAAAGGCCTCATGATGATTTAATAGCTTATTAAGCTTGTGAGAGTACATCTGGGTTAGTAAGCTGTGGATGGATTTAAAGCTAGCCCCTCAATCTAACTGCTTACTCTTTTTTTTTTTTTTTTATATGAATGTTTTATAACGTTTTGACTCTGAGATCCCCAGTTAAAGATCTAAACCACGGGTGTCAAACTGGTTTCAGAAAGGGCCGTGTGGCTGCAGGTTTTCTTTCCAACCAAGCAATAGCACACTAGACTCCAGTCATCTCATCCAGTCATCATGACTGGATGAGATGACTGCACTCAGGAATAAATATTTAGATTTAGTATGAAACTAAAGTCTAATATGTTTTAATCACCAACAAAACTTCAGACCTGAGAACAGGCTTCAAGCTGTGAGTTATGAGAGCAGCAGGTTCATTGTTTAGGGATGTTTTTCTTTAGTTTTTTATTATTTAGCAGTAGGTATGGTGAAGTTCACGTAATAAAATGCATCATGAGGAGGGGAAATATTAAAGCAATTACTCATAACGGCAATGAAAATAAGGCTTGGACATAAACGAACAACAGCACAAAGCATACCAGCTTAAAAAGCACCTTAAGGACAACAAAGTCCAGGTTTTACCGAAGCCATCACAAAGCTCTGATGTCATTTGCAGAGAGAACTTGTGGGAAGAGCTGAAAAAGGTGTGTGAGAGCAAAGCGACTCGTAAAATATAAATTAAATTAAAACACTTTTATTTACATACAGTGTATGTAAATATACAGTGAAAGCTAAACTGGAATGTTGTATTTAAATGTTATATTTATTTTACCTTTTGGTTTCAAAGAGGTACAAGTACAGAGGGCAGTGGGTGTAGGTCAGCCTCGTCCAATGAGAGACCTCCACGTTTACAGGGCCAACAAACACTCAGATCGCTCAGTGGCACAAAGGTTCCTGCCTTCATCAGCTGTTATGACCATAGACTGTCATCTGACATGGAATAAAACCTGCATTAAATTAAACAAAATAAATACACTTAAGGAAAATAAGTATTTGAACACCCTGCTATTTTGTATGTTGACCCAGTTAGAAATAATGGAGGGGGTCTAAAGTTTTCGTCGTAGGTATATTTGCACACTGTGGGACACATAATCTGAAAAATAAAATCCAGAAATCACAATGTATGATTTTGTAACTATTCATTTGTATGATACAGCTGCAAATAATTATTTGAATTTGGGTGAACAGGTGTCTTTATTCTTCTTATTATTAGGATAGTAATGAAAGAATTTCATTGTTTATAGCAAAGCATCATCACTGTAGATAATAATATTATCTATGTATTTAACTTTAAAGTTATTGTGGAGGATTTTCGCAAACTTTAAAGGACCCGCCCTCTCCACTTAAAAGAAAAATGCATGTGTGAGAGCATGCCCATTTCTCCTTGTGTATGCTCTATTAAAAAGTTGCTGTTCTCATAGCTCATACAAGCTAACTGTGCCTGAACTTTCGCTCAAACTCCTAAATCCCTCAATCACTTTAAAGACTAGGGACTATATGGCAGACTTTATAGGTAACTCAGTTAACTGACCGTTTGGACAGATGAACACTGCTTTTTGCTCCATTAATCACATAACTCCTCCTTCACGGTGCGGTGCCTGCAACATCTTTGTTATTAGTCACTGTGACAGTAAATCCCATAATGCTTTGCGAGGAGAGCTCTCCGCACAAAGCCTCTTCTGAGGCCTTTCTTTTCTTCTCATACACTTTGTAGCCCTCAGCCATTTTCAAAGAACCCCGGTGAGGAAGGAGAGCTTCAATGCCTATCTGAAACCGTAGCTCACCACAGATATATGCCTGAAAGTGCGCAGGCGCAGAAAAAAGAACCTTACGTAAACATTTCACCAGAATGATTGACACCTATTTAAATGATCCACCCGGAAATAAAAGATTGTCCTCTATACCTTTAAGGTATTTGATTTCTAACTCCATTTAAAAGTGCATCATTACTTAAACTCTATTGTTTAGTTTCCACATATTTAAAACCATGAATGATTCAAAGACGTCTTTACAAGTTTTCTAGATAGTCTAGGTCAGCTACACTAGATGTAAATATTTTAGACAGACACAGATCATAAACATGTTTTCTTTGCTAGTACTGTTTACTTTGAGGCCTTAAAAAAGGAGGGTAACATCCAGGGAAAACCAACAATAAGATTAAGAAACAACAGGCTTAGTTATAAATCACCAAGTTGTAATCATGTCACGTGCGAAGGAGATGCATAAATCACTTGCCAGGGAAATGGGGGATGAATGATGACCGTGGCCAAATGCCCACTGGTTTGTGTTGCCACCATCCAGCCTGTTCTGTCATCCAGGCAAAGAGTCGCATAAGCCTTTGCTTAGCAGAACATGGCAATTGGCAGCTGAAAAAGGCAGAGTTCAAGTGTTTCACTTGAGAGCAGATTTGAGCCGCTGCTGCTGGACCTTGGATCTCCATCAGATGACGGGTTCACCTCTTATCTTTGTTCAAAAAACGGAATGATTCAAAGAAAACTAACATCTACAAAAAAAGGGGTGTGCTAGCTTCAAAAGATGAAGAAGAAAACATTAGAGACATGAAAGATGCTCATCTTTTCAGGGGTGTTCAGTGTTAGACGTCAAAGACATCTTCATATTTCTGGCTCCAGTCTGAGCTGTAAAAAAAAAAACAGAATGTGCACTCAGACTGATGACACTGTGAGGCAACGATCAACTTTCTAGAATGTCTATTGATCTGTTCATAGTATCTGAGCAAAGTTCACAGAGATGCTTATCAGCAGCCATGTTTGTCCTGGATGGTCAGGACATGCGTCCTGATACCATGTGAAGGAAAGTAGAAAATAGAATATAAAAACCTTGTATTGTCCCACAATGGGGAATTGTGGTGTTACAGCAGCAAGAGATTATAATAACAGTAGTACCTTAAAAAGTGTATAAAAATAACAGAGTAAGTGACAGAGTTTAAAAAATAAACCAATAAAATACTGTAGTGTACAGTGTTTTACTATGTAAATATTCTGCATCTGGAGAATAAATAATTCTGGTTAATAACAAATGAAAAAATGGCTAAGAACACAGTTTTTGTGTAAGAAATGTAGAAAACCCTTTGAACTTTTTCTTCCTTTTTTTTCTTTCTCTTTTGAAGGATATTAAGGATTCTATGCGATATACCAACACAAAGTAGCATTTAACTGCATATCAAAAAATAGAAATCTGCACATTTTGCTGTACATATGTATCCAACCGTATTTCCTTTAAATAAACCCCAAGCAAACAGTTATCTTTAGAGGTCATTGATTTGGCTAATAGACTGTCTGGATGTAACTGAAACCCAGTATTGATGCAGTTCTTCTGTGAAAGCAGCATCATGGAGACCAAGGACCCCAGCAGACGGGCCAGGGAGGAAGGTCTGGGTTTGCTTAAAGTAGGACTGACTTCTCCTTTGTAAGGAGATGTGTGCGCGCTGTAACTCTGTCTTACCTTCTGTTTGACAGAAAACCCACTTTAAGCGTGTTACTGCCACATAAAGGGCTGGACTGAGAAATGTTATTCTCTTATCCTGACCAAAACTGAGTTCCTTTGCAGTTTGAAAATTGTGTGGGTTTTTTCCCCCAACTTGCGGTTAAAATGCATTTATCCAATCTACTTTATTTATATAGCACATTTAACAACAGAAGAGGTTTCGAATGTGCTGTACATAACAAATGATAAACAACAACACAACAATACATAAACACAATACAACAAGAAATAAACTAAAAAGGACACAGAGGACCACACAAACTACACATGAAAAACCAAAGAGTAAAAGTGGGTCTTAAGAAGAGACTTAAAACACTCCACTGTAGAGGCAGTCCGTATATGGAGGGGCAAAGTATTCCAAAGTCTGCGGCCAACTACAGAAAATGCTCTGTCCCCTCTGATTTTAAGCCTCATCTTAGGCACTATTAACTGAAGATGGCCCTCAGACCTCAGAGCACGTGCCGGAGAATAAATCTGGAGGAGCTCAGTGATGTATTGAGGAGCCATCCCATTCAGGGCTCTAAACACAAACAATACAATCTTAAAATCAATTCTAAAACGAGCATTTGCCCAGTCCTAGTTGAAAACAGGGTTAGGTTCTAAAACAACATCCTAAACTTTGAACATCATTCAGACCTCTGACCAATTATCCAAGGGCAAAACAACAACACAACTCTCAGCATTGTTTAGAGCAGCAGCCCAGAGGTAACTGTGGATGAGCTGCAGGTCAGCTGGAAGAAGTCATTGAGAAGATAACTAATACTGGTTTGATTAAGGAGTAATGGCAAAAAAATGCCAGAATTGATCATTTTTACAGGTTGTCACTGGATTATTTTAAACCTTTTGTGAATGAGTGAAAGAAGGTGGTGCTTTGCTCATATGAGACCAAAAGAGCTTTTGTGTTTCATATAAAGTTCTTTAGTGTTACAACAACAAAAATATATATTTTAGATCTTTTTTTTTCATGAAACATTTTCTAAACCATATTAGATGTTTTTCCTCCTGCTTTTCAATCATGCAACACTTCTTGTTGACCTATTGCACAACAGCCCACTAAAACCTTTTGAAGTTTGTTTTCCGAATGTGGTGTCTTGTGAGGATATCATGCAGTTTATTTATGTGGTCTGAAAGGCACTTTAAGAGATCTCCTGATATAACAACTAGAAAGATTTAGAGATCTCACACTGAGAGAAGATTAAGGGAAACCGAGGTGATAAATTCAAGTAATAATTGAACCTCTGATTCTTTAATAACAACAGGAAATGTTTCTGAGCCCCCAGTGGAAGGAGAGTACTTTAAATATAACTCAAACAGGGAGCGGCGGCTTAAAGTTGAACTTGATTAATGCCTCGTTTAGTCAGTTTTCTGTGATTTCTTTGAATCTTTTTCTACAATGGGGTAAAATTAGTCCAGTTTTTATAGAATGAGAATATATACAAAACTTAACTGTTTTCACTCTATTCGATTTTCTTTTCTTTTTTTATAACAGTTGCTTCTTTTCTGCTTCTGAATGACCTTGAACTTATCAGGGTCAAAGGATATTGTTCTGATTTCAAACTGTATTTTAAATGCAACCTCGCCTCATTAGGCACAACTTTAAATTAAAGCAAAGTTTAAAAAAAAGATCCTCAGTCTAAGCAAATGTCAATGTCATGCCACCAGTTGTGTTCCTCATTCTATCCTTTCCTACAATCCTCTGATCCAGCATGAAAATGCCTCATTCTGACCTGCCCCGTCTTTAGGGGCAGGACGTCTCCGCTAGAAGTCGTCTCATCAGGAGGTCAGATCTCTACTGCAGCACAGCCAAAGACAAACACCATCACAAAGTCAAAGTGCCCCTTTTAGAAGATTTCAGTGCATAGGAAGAGGCCCTATAGATGACATGTAATGAGCCTGGCAGCCGGGGGCATCACAGATACCCCCAGTGGGAATCATCTGGCAGGATGACAGGACGAGGTAACAGAAGGGGGTCTGCATATGTTCACCATAGGAGATAAGAGAATATATGTCACAGTTTTTCAAATGCAGATGTACTAATGAGAGACTTGGATACAGATCGGGTTTACTGGAGAAGCATGTACGTCTTTGAAATGTTTGAAGAGTCTTTGAAAGCTTTCTAAAGCATTTCCTGGTTTAAATCTCTAACTCAGCTGTGTTCCTCTGATAACCGCCTAATCAAAAGGCCGAAGAATCTACCTAGAGAGCTGTCCTGTTTCTGAACTATCCCTTTCTCCTCAGTGGTCAGGAGGAGGCGATGATGGGTCAGCTGGTGCAGTTTGGTCCATTGGCTGCTGTCGTGGATGCCGTCAGTTGGCAGGATTACCTGGGAGGCATCATCCAGCACCACTGCTCCAGCCAATGGTCTAACCACGCTGTCTTAGTAGTTGGATACGACACGACTGGTACAAACCTTCACACAACAGACACCGAGGCAGTCTATGCCTTTTTCAGTTTAAGTGCCTCCCATTTCGGGCGGAAAAAGCCCTCTACGTTTTATGCATTGTGTCATTATTGATCAACAATGGCCACAGATCAGGAAATTAAATATTGGCTTGGGAAATACATTTTTGGAGGAAAAAAGAAGGGAATGTTGGGTTTATTTCCTTTTTTCATGTTATTTGATTTGAATACAGAAAAAAAGGACTTATCGTATCGCATATCATGGCTGCAACAATCGGATAAATCTTGATTAAACTATTAGTAAAATATTAGAAACTATTCAGAAATATTCTATAATTAGTAGATGAAGGATTATTAACTGTGCTATGCAGACTTAAGACATGCAATATGCTGAGACAACAACCCACTCAGTCTAAAAAAACATATCTTGCAATTAAGATTAAAAACCTTTGTCTATAAATATTCTCTGTCCAAACCTCACAGAGTTGCCTAATTTATCTTAACCTGGTTAAGATCCTACAAAGTATTTCCTACTAACCACTTGATGATTTGATTGTTAATCGAAAAAAATAGTTACTCAATTAGCAAGGTAATCTTTAGTTGCAGCCTTATTCCATATCCTAACTGCCAGCGAATTTAACTGCAGAATAGAAAACTGTCAGATTTGTGGTCGAATGTTTTATGATCACTGCATTTACATTTCTTTGTGATTTGAATGTTTGTTCTTTTCTTTTCTATCCCTGCAGCCATTTATACCAATATTAACTTCCTATAATAGTTAAATTCAAAACACTAATTGATGTTTTGCAGCATTTATTTTTTTCACAGTCTTGTTTACAGTTTATTATGATATGAAATAATTATGCAGAAAGAAAAAAAAAAAACACAGCAAACTTGACCCGTGAGGCTCATTAAATGGCTGTTTTCTGTCATAGGCGACATACCTTACTGGATTGTGCAGAACTCCTGGGGAACTGAATGGGGAGATCAGGGTTACGTGTATATAAAAATCGGTGGCAACATGTGTGGTAAGGTCATCATCCTTGGAGCATTCTGATGTGTTAACCCAGCCTATTGTGCTCTTGGTGGTGAACCATGCTCTTGTTTTGGTTTTCTTCCCAGGTATTGCAGATTCTGTGGCAGCTGTTTCTCTTTGACAAGAGTTTATTTGAGTCAGACGGGTTTGTGTGAGTCACTGTGTGGGTGCTTCCCCTTGCCAAAATGAAACAACTCATGTGTTCAGCATCTCTGTGGATAATGATTTCTTTTTTAAATGTAGCCATCTTGTGTCACTCAAACAAATAAAACCCCTTTTATGTTTGCAAGTGTTTATATTCACTGTACAAAACAGACATTATATTAAATACAAAATATACAGCAGAACTTGTCAATTTTCTTTACAAATACATCATCAATTAGTTGATAAATATAATACAAAATTATCTAGAATACTATACAGAAGTTGAAGAGCTAGATGATTAGCATTATGTACACAGTTAATGTCGTCTACGGATTTAAGCCGTGCAAATCTCCCTGCTTTAGTGGTTGGCATTTTAAATGCTTGAGATTTCATCTTATTTACACTCTTTTCTTTCACTTAAGGTGCATCTGTGTGAAGCGGCCCATTGCGACATGCTGACATGAAAGGCGTTGCGTAAAAACCCAGCAGCATTGTGCCTTCATGCACGGTTTGATCATTCCACCCACTGATCTGCCTGCCTCCAGGTCACTTCTCCTTCATTTACATAGGGTTACATCTAGGCAGGCCTTATCAAGGAGCCGTCTGCGGCACTTTGTGACTCAGAGGCCAGATTAAAGTAAAAAAGCTTGATTTGGCATCGTGAAATATTTAATGTCAGACATTATGTCACAAGCCCTGCAACTGGATTTTTTTTTTCTGGTTAATTTCTACCTCTTGCTGAACTTTAGTATATAAAAACCTAATTATGAATTTCGTTCACAAATCTACTAAGCCAACCTAACACCTGGTATAAAACACTGACGATCATTTTTATTCTTTTCGTATGAATTTTACTACTGTCCTTACTTGGCTTGAGTGAAGTTGAATAAATCTGATGTCAAAATGGTGCTCTGACTCATTTATATATTGGCCCGACAGAGGGGCTGAACTACACCTACACACTTGGCAAATAACCCCATGGCTGACATCTGCCACCATGAAGGGAGGCCAGAACAGACGGCAGAGATGCACTTTTAGTCTGAGTCCTCGCTGCTGCAGTAGGAGCTGTCGCAGCATTCGGCCATGTACAGGAAGGTGTGAACGTTGGGGTTGAGTTTGGGCACCCAGTGACGAGGCACCAGGAATGTAGCCAGGTTAAACAGATCCACAAACACTTTGTAGCGGTCACTAAATAAAAAAAAAAAACATACAATCATGAGGTTGGAAGATAGCTGCACAGGCACAACTTAAGGGCAACAGAAGTTATTCTGAAAATGTCTTTTAAAGTTTTGTGTCTTCGCCTTCTGGGAGACAATACCCAAGTGACAGGTTCTTCTTTTAATGAGCAAAATATCACTGCACTATCCTCATCTAAATTAGCTTTGAAAGGCTTTGCAAAGGAATGTTTGCAATCATGAGACTGAAGTGGAAATGAAACAATACCTGACAGTGGATCTTAAGTACTGGTAGCCTGATGAGCCCCCTGTTCCAGCTTTGCTGCCAATCATTCGGTGTACCATGCACACATGGTTGTCTTGAAGAGAGAAGAGAAAAAAGTCAAACGTCTTTGGTTATATTTGGTTCCATATCAGCCTCACTGTTTTAAGTATTTATATCTCTTGAACCTCCACATTTTTGACGTTTCAACCCAAATTTTCGATGGAATTTTGTTTCATCAACACAGAGCAAAACCAAGCAGTGAGAGTAACAAGATACATGGTGCATAGCTTTAAAATTGATTTATGAATAAATGGTAACACATTTGCACATCTACAGACTGACCTCAATGCTTTGCATTAAATTGTTTTATTGTAACCCTGGCTGAGTTTACTCTTGTTTTGTTGGAAGTCAAACCTCCCCCTTCTGGAGTTTTTTGCAGCACTTTATGCTTCCAGGACTGTCGTTTATTTCTTTCCATTCCACCTTCCAATTAGGATTAACCGACATCCCTGTCTCTGCTGAAGAAAAACTTGCCCACAGCATACTGCATCCACCACTATGTCACAACATGTGTTAGATGACCTCCATTTGTTTTGTTGTATCATTCAAAGCATTTTGCATGTAGGCCTTCTGATCACAGCACCACACATTAGCTGTATCTGCTACAGTATATGACCTTTAGTATAACTTTGCTTGGCTTATTTCAGCAGTAGATGTATTATGATCCAAAGCATAATACTCAGATTTGTCTTTTCCTGTACAAATCTTTTCCCACCTGAGCTGTGGATCCCTCCAACTCCTCCATAGTCACCACTGGCCTTGTGCTCCCTACTCTAAATAATGCTGTCCTTGAATAGTCTGCAGAGGCTCCATTCTTGCTACATGTTCAGATGATGGATTGAAAATAGTTGTGGGAGAATTTCAAATCTTGGTGTTTAAGAACCTAACGCTGCTTGAGGCTCAACCAGAGCTTCCTCCATCACCCCTCTGTTAGGTATGTTTGGTTTTTGTGATGCTAGTCGCTATGTAATTTTCTCTTAAGAACCTCTGAGGCCAGAAATAGAATAGCAGCATTTATATTGATATTAACTTACATATAGTTAGACTTCATAAACTAGTTAGATGTCAGACATTCTTAGGGAAAACTGGATTTTATTAAGGTTATATGTAAAGGAAATAGAATACAATGCACATATTTTTTAGATTTTATTTTGTAAAGAACATATTGAAAGGATGCCTCCACCCGCCCTTTGAAGTATACAACTCTTAGTTTTCTTTACATTCAGAAATTTGTACTTTCGAAGTCGTGAGTAAATCTTAACTCTGGTTTAACGAAGTGTAGTTTCTAGTAATGTAGCTCTAACTTTAAGCAAACTGAAACTTCTCTTCGTGTTTCCATATATGCACCCAGTCCCATCATCTGTAAAATACTTACATCTCCATTTTGTCATGAGGGTGTCGATGTCCATGAGGGATGTGAGCAGCTGGAAGGGGACCTGGAACCTCGGCTCTTCCCTGAAAGGTAAGGCAAGGTTTGATGTTTTAAACATCTCATGAAAATCCTACTAAATTTTAATGGGTGTAAAATGAGAGCAGCTGTCACCTGGGCACCGGCAACAACCCCGGCAGTTTTGCACTAATTATCACTTTGCAGTTGCTGCCGGATGACTTTGTTAGGCCTGCTGAAGCCTTAATGAGCCTCATGTGACATTCTGTCCTTATCACATGTGTTACGTAGCTACGACACCTTTAGGAAAAACTGACAGACATGCTCAGACTGTTGAAGCCTCCTCAAGACCTCTTTACAACTGCTGTAGGTGTCGCCTGGCTGACAGGGTTTCAGAACCGGGCTTGTGATATGGAAATGTTATATGGGGGGAATTAATGAGCACCCCTGCCTCTGGAACTTGCACTAAGATGTTCTTAAGTTAGAAGTCCCTTTGGAGGTGCCAACACCTTCCAGATATAAAAAATGTATGAGCTGTAATGGTACAGTATAAATGCTGCAGTTTTACTGGAAAATTAGAGGTAAAGAAGCACAAAGAAAAGCTTGTCATACCTGTAGAAGTAGATCATCAGAGCACCTTGTAAAGCCTTGTAAGATAGCCGTCTTTCCCCTTGGAAGCAAAAATGAAAAAATACCTTTATTTTGAAGCAACATAAATTGTGTTTATTTGTGCTGCATTGTGAGCAAAAGTTCAAACTCCACAGGAGGCAATTTAAGGAAGCGTAGAACAAACAGAGGGCATCTCTAATGTTTTGTGACATCTGATTAAAGAGCTACCTTTGCTGACCAGGTGGTAATGACGTTTTTCATCAAACAGGGACGTGAAGAGCTCTCTCTGTTTGACGAGCTCAGCCATCAGCTCCTCTTTCTCCTCAGACTCTGGCATTTTCTACAAAAATAAACAATGCCCGCAAACAAGAATCCAACTTCTGTCAATCATCCGTGCACTCCGGGGCGAAGCTGGGAATGTTTGTTCTTGGAGCTAAAGTTATTTCTTACCTCGATTTTCTTCTCCTCCAGATTCAGTCCATCGAATATATTGATTTTTAGTCTTTCCCAGAAATTGAATCCATCCACTTCCAAGCCAGGTGTTCTCTCCAGCCACTCCTGTAAGAATCGCCCAAAACTTTAATGTCATTTTTTCACTGAGAAGTCGCACTAAAGTTGCTCTAGAGCAGATCCAACCATAGAGTAACCCTGTGGTAATTAACTCGTTGGCTAAATCAGGTAAATCAATAGTAATGTGTACGGAGCACCAAGACGAACCTCAACGAGCTTCAGAAGCGTTGGCTCTTGTTCTGTCTCCACCAGCATCTCACTGTCATGCCCCTTAAAATTGTCCCTGTAATGACGTCTGTTGTAGGGAACCCTCAGGTTGTCCGGCACCCCGATTTTGTTCTCCAAAAGCCGGAATTGAAGACTTTGGAACCCAGAGGCAGGAGACAGGTACTCCCTGGAGACCCAAGATCAATTTAACGACCCACACTTAACGCAACGGGAATAAAGCATGATCAGGAAGTGGGTCTCATAAACATTTTCAGAGCTTATTTATATATATAACTTTGGGGGAGTGGCGGCCTAGTGGTTAGGACATAGAGCTTGGAATCCTGAGGTTCTAAGTTCGAGCGCC